TTAACAGATTAAATGATAATGTTTTTCTTCTACGTTAGCTTGATGCGTGTCTCCTCCGTAGCGACGGGAGCAAATAGGCAAAACACGTTGAAAAGCATCGATTTAACCAAAAATAAATAGCAAAAGGTAGAAATAACAATATAAAATACATATTCTCTTCATATTCATCCAAATTTCACACATCCTGCAACGAGGGTTACATGATTTCTCAAAATAAATCGACGCGCTCGGGTGATCGACGCGCTCGGGGTCAAATAGGGAAATCGCTGTTTGGGGTCAAATAGGGAAATCTTCAAAAACAGCAAGGAAAAAACACGAAACAGGGAACTAACCTCATTTCAGCACGTAAAATCGTCCAATCTATTGTTAACACCATTTAGCATGTTAGAAATCAAGGTATATCATTTGATAAATTCATATCAAGTCAATGCATCACATAAATTTAGGCCCTTGTTTACAGAGAGATCTCCTTCGCAGTTTCGGGGTCAAATAGGAAAGCAGTTGAATTTGCATTATCAAATCCGTTTTTTTGCCGGAAATCATTATTCCAATAACCTTTTTGATTCAGGAGAATGTCCTCAACTAAAGATTATTGCAAATTAATCACTCTGGGTCTTTGAAAATGATGAACAGATTTTTCTATTGACAATGATGTTTTTCAATACATTTTTATTTTATTTTCAATTAAGAACTAGTTAACAGTTACCATGCAATAATATATAAAAATACAAATAAAAACACTGCTCAAGAGTTAGACCAAATCTAGTAGATATTACAACAGTGAAAAAGTTATATAGCAGAAAAGTTACTTTCTAACGAAAACCCCCAAAAATCAGGCAGCAGTACATGGACCCCAGAATGGCCAAGGGGCAAGGGGGCAGGCTTCAGTAAAAAGGCATCTGAAAAATTCCCAGCTTCTATTGATTCTGTTGTAACTGTATTTTCATTTTGGTTTCGTATAGGTATCTTGGAAATGAGTTAACTGCTCTTATTAACAAGGCTTTTATATGAATTTAATTAGTGATTAGAAAGGGCTGCTGTCAAGGGCACGTTTTTGAAAAGGGCATATTTGCTCCCTTTGTCCCTCTTAGGAATTTGCAGGTGAGGTTGTTACCCACCCGACCCCCCATTATGCTTTCCCTGCAGCAGTAACTGAATAGGGCTCTGCCGTGATTCTATACAGTTCTTTTTCTAAGAAAGAAAGGTAGTGTAGAGATTGTTCTGTAAACCTTAAAATGCCAATACCTCTTTAAGTCTTTTTTGGGGTCTTTTCCATTTGAGTTCTTGATCCTCTAAAACTCTTAGGCATTTGACGTTGTTCACAAGTTTGATATCTCAATTTGGAAACAATCGTTGAGAGACAAGTTCAGGTATTGATAATTTCCGTAACTGTATTAGACAAAAGGACCTTGAGGCCTTACTAAAAGACAACTCATGCAATGGACATTGTAGGATCTTTAACCTTTCTTGAAATTCTCAACATTTCACTTTTTGTAGATTACGTTTTTTACTAAATTGTATGTAAAAAGTGTCCCCAATTAGCAGAAATGCTAAATTAATTTGACACTGAAATAAAGTTATAATAATTATTATTATTATGAAGATATGTGGCTACAACATCTGTTGTACTTTTTGCAAGTTTGCAATGTACTCAGGGACGGATTTCGCAGGAGATGTGTAGAAGGTGTGACACCCCCCCCCCCAATATCTCTGTGTCCTTTTTGGCAGCGAGTAGTAACAAAGTAACGCAAAGATTTTACTTTTTATCTTCTTATCAGTAGCTTAGCAATGGAGGGGGGGGGGACGAGGCTCGGAAAGTTGGTGTATGGGTTAAGTGCGAATATGCAATAAAATTAGTACCTCAGTGAGGGGGAATTTATATTTCAGACAACATTAAAACGTCTTTGACGACTTCAAGCAAACGATTGTAAGAAATATTCTGAAATGTATTTCAAGCTAATCTAATGGGTGTATCGCAAAATGTTTTGTTCAAATTGCTTGCAGGAGACCCTCCTTTGCACCTCTACAGAATATTTGACAATTTCCCCTAGTTATAGGTTTTGGAACTTTCAGCTGAAAATTGCAGATTGTTTAAATATTATCATGAAAGTACAGGGCCGCCGGAGCCAGGGGGCCACGGGGGCACAGGCCCCCCTGTTTGCGAAAAGTATAAACAAGTGCCCCTTTTCGAAAAATATATTGCGTGTATTTTTTCACTGCCAGATATTCTGCCTTTAGAAACTAAGTAAAATAACATAACTCCGGACATTGTTGGAGGACCATTCACTGAAAATTCCTTAAATTTTTACTTGGTCTTGATGCAAGAAGCGCAAGCTCCTGTGATGAACAATATCAACTGCGAAGGAGACTGCCAGTTTCGCGAGAAAATTTCCTTAGTATGTCTTCAGCAACAAAATCATTAGTGAAAGGTCCGATCAAGTCCCCGGTGGGCACAGTCAGTCGGTCAAATGTATATCGTCTGTGTTCTTGAAAGTAAAAACTGGACCCCTATCTCTGATTCTGGGTTGAGTTAAATGTACCCTATTCTGTGCCTTTGCCAAAATTGTGTAACTCCTCTTACTGAGAATATTCAAGCTTGAGCAGGAATTTTTGTTAAAATCAAATTTAGTGAACTCTGCTTTTCACTGAGCATGTTAGAGCCATTCTTTTTCTTAAACTTATGACCAGGCAATTTAAAAAGCTCACTTATGACAAGGCAATCAGAGTTCACTAAATTTGATTTTAACAACAATCCCTTATGGTTCTTGACATATTTATTAAAAAAATCAGACATCTGTAAAACTATAGCTGCGACATATTGCTTGCTTCACAACATTGTGTTCAATGTTTTTATGAAGAAATGGAAAAGTTATGTCCCTGAAATGAGTACCTGCTAACAAAGACTTAAACAAAGACTTGAATTTCTTATCTAGGATTAGAACAATATACAAGGCTAGACGTACTGCAAAATTTGTTGTACTTCAATATGCCATTGATTTACCTAAACAATTATCTGTAACATCATATCAGTAAATTCCTGCCCTTTTTGTGCTTCCTCTGACTGATTAAGAATGTAACTCTATTTTCAAGATTCTATGTCCCAGAATTCTAGCTTTTTTTAAATCTTCTGAACTCATATGTTATACGTTTGACCAACTGACTGAGCCGCCCGGGATCAATTTTAAAGAAATTTAAAAATTTGTTTTGTTCATAAGACTGATGAGATAAATCTAATCAATGTTACAAATTGAATTTGCTATGGCAGTGAAGAATGTGCCCGCACCTTCAGCCGATTGTGTGAAGATGACTTAACCATAAAATTTGTAGCTTTTAAAAAATATTCCATAGAGACGAACAAATGTGTGTTTAAGTGGGGATGGGGGGTGCGAATACCAAGGGGGACTAAATTGTTTAAATATATAGGTAAGAAAATTAAAATCATTATTCGAATGGGGCTGAAACTTTGTTTAGAAAGAGATAGGGACTGGAACTCGCTTTGAAGTATATAAAGACTAAGAATTCAAAAATTCCATTCAGTTCTTATTTTGGCACTTACTAATGTTTCGGGGAAAAAATATTCGTGCCTTTTTCATTCGTTTTGGCCCCTCCCCCCTGTTCAAACCTGCGTCCGGCGGCCCTGAAGTAGGAAAAAGCTGCAATTCTGAAAACTGTCGTATATTGATGGGACTTATTGAAAATGTCAATGTAAGTAAACAAATTTTGTGAAAAGATTTTCATCGTCACGTCAATGTAAGTAAAAAAATACCGCCCAGCATACATCAAAGTCTTCAAATTTATCTTTAGAATATTTCTGATTTCGGGCAAAAAAGCGAATTTTAAAGATGTTTACTGAATTTTTCCTATTTATCCCAGCTATGACAAGGTGTCTCTCCCTCTCTCGCCGGTAGCTGTTTTCCTATTTGTACCCGAAACTGTGAAGGAGATCTCTCTGTAAACAAGGGCCTAAATTCATGTGATGCATTGACTTGATATGAATTTATCAAATGATTTACCTTGATTTCTAACATGCTAAATGGTGTTAACAATAGATTGGACGATTTTACGTGCTGAAATGAGGTTAGTTCCCTGTTTCGTGTTTTTTCCTTGCTGTTTTTGAAGATTTCCTTATTTGACCCCAAACAGCGATTTCCCTATTTGACCCCGAGCGCGTCGATCACACAGCTGATTTATTTTGAGAAATCTTGTAACCTTGGTGCAGGATGTTTGAAATTTGGATTGATATGAAGAGAGTGTGTATTTATCTTTGCGATTACTACCTTTTGCTATTTATTTTGAATTAAAACGGTGCTTTTTTAACGAGTTTTGTCTATTTGCTCCCGTAGCTACGGAGGAGCCAAGCGTCAAGCTAACGTAGAAGCAAAACATTGCAATTTATACTGCTAAAATTACCGTAGTTGAATTAAAAACGCATCTTTAAGGTAGTTTGAAGCATGCCGAATCCGATTCTGAGGTTTGTTTTGAGATATCAGTCCAATATTTGGAGTAATTAACGATTTCCCTATATGACCCCGATTTCCCTATTTGACCCCGTTCCCTATTTGACCCCGAGCGCTACCAACATGATTGGGCTGAAGGGATGCAGTTCACGAGTATGATGCTAATAATATCGTGGTCAGAACATGTCAGCAACAACGAGATTCCGGAAAAAAGCGGTACGAAAAGAAAATGTTTCTATGAAGGGAAGATACCAGATCTTGTAGACAAAGAATGCTATTTCACGGGATATCCATCGTTACAAAAAGGTTGTCAGTTGATCGTCTTTTGTATTCCGATGAATATGATGAATATAGAATATGATTAATTGTATTTTGATGAAAGGAACTACCCCTAGATGAAAATAAAAATATTTATTGAATTGTTGGTCTTGCTATCCACTTTTAAGCCAACCATCTTTGAATATGAAACTTTTCATAAAAGCCTTATTGCACATATTCGGCAAAAAGATGTTGTACTTGGCACTTGATAACGAAATCGTTTACCTCTAGCCTGTGTAACATTTTGGCATCGTCTATATCTGACATATGGTCTTCAATAGTCTTCGCAGGGTTTTCTTTTTGCTCTGTGTGACACTCAGTCATTTCTTGTTGATCCTGCAAAAAGTTAACTTCATCAGATAAAGTCGATCGGAATCTAATACAATTAAATACAAATCCAATCAACAAAAACAAAACATTACCTCTGCCTTCTTCCATCCTATTTGTTTCTGTCGCGTTTCATTCTTCAATCCACTCTCCCCCTTTGTAGCATCTGAAGTGAAAAGCAAAATGTTTCATATGAAGAAAGAATAGGAAAAAAATCTCTAAAGTCATTAATTCAGGTTCTTTAAATTTAATATTTACGTAAATCTATCTATAAAGCTGCATCACACTGGATGCGTCATGGTGCGGCGCGTCATCTAGCGTCACGTCATGCTTTTCTTCACGAAGAGTGACGAAGCGCCATCTGTTTTCCAATGCTGTTCACAGCGAACTTGCAAAACTCTTGACAAGTTGTACTTTTTTCCTACATTGCAAAATCAAGCTGGAAATTTAGCTTTATTTCAGAAAAGGACGAAAGGGTGATCTGAAGCTAATCTATGAAAAACAGCATCTTGACCAAAGAAACGAGGCGTTCTGTAAATTTGTGTATTTCAACTACTCTTATGTGGTTTCTTTGACATTTCGGCACTTTGGTTCGAATGGTTGGCCTATGTTTTCATAGGAAGAATAATTTTTTTTGCAAGCATCCAATGGAGAACCTAAATTTTCATTTTTTTTTTAAGATTTGGAAGGTCTACTACATTTTGGAAAATGCCCAACTAAAGAAAAGAAAAGTGATGGCAAGGAAAACTTTGACACTGGCTTTACAAATTGATGGGGTTTTCCTTCCTGCCCAAATTCGAAAGAATATTAAACAGCCTAACTTTATCAACAATCCTCATGTTTACATGAATTAAAGCCTACGCTTCAAAGCTTAACGGGAAGTGACTGAAATCCAGAACGGAACGTACTTTAACTCATCGACGAGGCAACTTTATCGACAGAGACTCAAAACACTTATCGACAGATAAATGTGATTTGTTTTTAATTGCATTATGAATTACAATTTACATTAAATTATAACATGGTTGTCTTCGCTTAAATCCTTCCCGATGCTTTAATTAGAGAAATTCATTAAAATTTATATTTCATATTTATATATATATTTCATACTTGATTTGTTTAGGGAGGGGTTGCCCTTCAACGGAAGTTGTTTTTCAAGAGGCCCTCCAATAAAAACTAATTACAATATATAATTAAAAGACTAGAAAATAAAAAACCATAATATTAAAAACCTATTTACAATTACATGGTATTATACAAATAAAAGATTTACTTCATCGTACGAGCAACGCAGTTTTAGAATGGCCTATATCAGAAGCTCTCTAAGTTTTCTATTGTTCTGAAGCGTCACTGAGCGTCAAAGTTAAATATATTTTGGGCTAACGGGTGGGCTAAAAGAACGCGCTGTGTGCGCGTAATTGCGAAAAATGTTAACTATAATTGGTCAGTGTCATGACTCGCCGCGCCTTGACTCGTGCAGTGTGAAGCTAGCTCAAGGGAATCCAGATTGTTTTACCAGGATATTGAGGGTTGCCTTGGCATTCCAGGTGAGTACTCGTTCTCGAGGGTTTGACAGCATTGTCATTTGATCTCTCTTCAGTTGAACTAGAATCCTTCCCAGCTGAAAATTGATAAAAACTACCAAGTCATTCTTGAAAATCTATGGAAAATAAACTGGCTTGAAATTTTAGGACAGAAAACAGTCGCTTAAGCAACCATATTGATACTTCTTTACCCAAATCAAAGCTACTTACTCAATTTAGCAAACTTCCAAAATGCTTACAACCCATCGAAACAATATTTAGTTAAAAAATTGCGTACTTGTTTGATCTAATTTCAATATATTTAAAAAAATTCACAGCTAAAATGGGATAATGTCAAGGGGCATTGGTTGTAATACCGTTCCACAACTAAAAAAAGGAACTAACTTCATTGTGTACAGCAGACAAGACAATAGAAGCTGACAAGCCATAAACCACAACCAACAGATTGACATCAGAAGCAGACAAGAATGGAGGGCCTACCGAGACCACAACTAAAAGACCGAGAGTCCTAAAAACTAAGAAACAGATGAGCGTATCTCCAAGGGTATGTGCCAAAGCAACGATACTATATGAACATAAGAATGCAAGATGCTGCTTGAGTCGTTATACTTTTGCTTTGAAAAATTGCAAATATACACGAAGAGGAGCTAAATTGCCACATGAAAAATCTAGATGCGTGTTCTTGTTATTTTTTATTGCTTTTGTTGTTGCCATTTGTAAACCGTAGGCCAGTTAGGCGGTAGGATTCTTTTTTCCAAACTTCATCTTGCAACAACTATGTTCCCTTCCAGCTTTGCTGCCTATCCACGCAGCAGCCTTTTCCGAGCTCGAAATTTCCTATTTCACCCTGTATCGTGGCTAGAACAAGATGGTCTCCATTCCTCAATCCTGTAACGTGGCTTGATTCCGGGTAAAGTACTAATTGTTGCTCCATCGCAGGGTACTTAGAAAAATTCGCTGTTGTTTCGTTCATGTTCTCCAGCCTGTGTTTGCAGATTTTCGAACGTGTTTATAAAAAATGTGAAAAGCGTGAAAAAGACATTCTAATCATTTCATTTTTTCAATAACTTAACCATAAAAGAGGGTTCGAGAGCGTACATGACTTTAAGCAGTGATTTACCCTTCGTGGGCGACAATATCTGGACAAGGAAGATCAAAGGTTTACAACACGTGCTTGTGTTCATAAATGACGATGCACACAATTGGATTTGCTGTTGAATGAGTATTTAGGTATCTGATAGAAAATTCTGATAGAGGCAACAATAATGAGTGGAAAAGTCACAGAAAACGAATATTAATTACAATGCAGAGGATGGTTAGGATGGAAGGGTGAGGTCAAATTATGATCCGTGATATGGATATTCATGTCAAGGTCAAAAAATGACATCCATTAGTGAAAAAATGAGTCATTATCAAATGGTCTGCATGCTTACTTTACACGACTTTAAAACATGCAAAAAAGTGGACAGTAATTGACATTAAGACAGAGCAGTGTAAAAGTAAACATGTTAGCACAATAGGTTTGTTTACCTGACACTACCTGGTGCGATATGATCAACAATATGAAAATTTAATTCTTATGACCAAGCTATCAGAGCATTAAAAAAAATGAGGTGCGTAGTGATCATTGTCTAAACGTTATCATGCCCTCCATTGTTTCACTGTAATTAACACTTTCCATTGTCTTCGTATCCACGTAACGTAATAAACAACACATGTGTAGCGTCCCCTCGTTTTATATGTATACGCCCAGTATTGTATTTATTTAATTAGTCAGTAAATTCATCAAGACGCAACGGTCACGCAACAACGTATCTTGCTGGCTCCGTGTTTTCTGCACTTTAAACTAGATCATAAAACGACAGCATGCCCATAAAAGAACTTACAAAGGAATTAATAAAGGAACCATTCATCACCAACATCCGTTCTTATAGGTGTTTTTTAAAAACAGAAGCAACAATAGAATTTTTGAAGAAATCGCTTTTGTAACACCACATACCTTTCCCATCTTGGAGGAACTTTTTCATTTTCTTCAGGACTTTCTTCTGTGATTTTGATAGCTTAAAGTTTGTAACGTCACATCTGGTTAAAAAATAACGATTTGCAGCTGAATATCCTCATTTTAAATAATCTTTGAAAATAAATGATAACTTAGGTCTACTGTTAAATTTGTACGAGATAGTGCGGTAGCATATGCGAACCAGAATATAGAGCATTCAAACATATTAGTGACGAACAAGTATGGTGGAGGACCAGTAAAGGAAAGTTCTTTAAAATAAAACCAAGATGCCTAACAATATTACATTGCCGAACAGCAAGTGCTTAGCAGTCCAAATCAGAAATATTGTAGTTAAGATGCATTTCTTGTATGCCTACAATGGTTTATACCTGTCCTAGATAGGTAATAAGGCCAACTTGCGCAGTCCTTTATCCGCAGAATTAGCCGCAGACACCAATAATGTCAAGATTTAATGATTGACACACGGGTGAAAAAATTTTTCAGTCATGTCTTTCTGTTCTGCTGGATTCTACTCAGATGGGAATGGTGAAAAAGTATGTCGGAACGGTATTCAGACATTGATTGGTCGTTGTACTCGTAGTAGGGTGACATTTGTTTCTCCTGTGCTGGATTCAACTCAGATGGGAATGGTGAAAAAGTATGACGAAACGGTGTTCAGACATTGATTGGTCGTTGTGTGCTAATATTCTGTGCTGGATCCAATTCAGATTGGAATGGTGTTCAGACATTGATTGGTCGTTGTACTGGTAGAAGGGCGACATGTGTTTCTCCTGTGCTGGATTCAACTCAGATGGGAATGGTGAAAAAGTATGCCGATACGGTGTTCAGACATTGATTGGTCGTGGTGTGCTGATATTCTGTGCTGGATCGAATTCAGCTTGGAATGGTGTTCAGACATTGATTGGTCGTTGTACTGGTAGTGGGGTGACATGTGTTTCTCCTGTGCTGGATTCAACTCAGATGGGAATGGTGAAAAAGTATGACGAAACGGTGTTCAGACATTGATTCGTCGTTGTGTGCTAATATTCTGTGCTGGATCCAATTCAGATTGGAATGGTGTTCAGACATTGATTGGTCGTTGTACTGGTAGAAGGGTGACATGTGTTTCTCCTGTGCTGGATTCAACTCAGATGGGAATGGTGAAAAAGTATGCCGAAACGGTGTTCAGACATTGATTGGTGTTGTGTGCTAATATTCTGTGCTGGATCCAATTCAGCTTGGAATGGTGTTCAGACATTGATTGGTCGTTGTACTGGTAGTAAGGTGACATGTGTTTCTCCTGTGCTGGATTCAACTCAGATGGGAATGGTGAAAAAGTATGCAGAAACGGTGTTCAGACATTGATTGGTCGTTGTACTGGTAGAAGGGTAACATTTGTTTTTCCTGTGCTGGATTGAACTCAGATAGGAATGGTGAAAAAGTATGCCGAAACGGTGTTCAGACATTGATTGGTCGTTGTCTGCTAATATTCTGTGCTGGATCCAATTCAGCTTGGAATGGTGTTCAGACATTGATTGGTCGTTGTACTGGTAGAAGGGTGACATGTGTTTTTCCTGTGCTGGATTCAACTCAGATAGGAATGGTGAAAAAGTATGCCGAAACGGCGTTTAGACATTGATTGGTCGTTGTGTGCTAATATTCTGTGCTGGATCGAATTCAGCTTGGAATGGTGTTCAGACATTGATTGGTCGTTGTACTGGTAGAAGGGTAACATTTGTTTTCTCCTGTGCTGGATTCAACTCAATAGTCGAATGTGAAAAAGTATTGGAAACGGTGTTCAGACATTGATTGTGTCGGTTGATTAACTTGGCTGATCAGCAAAGGGTAACATTATTGTCTTAAGTAGCTGTCCTGTGCTGATCAACTCAGATAGGAATGGTTGAAAAAGTATGCCGAAAACGGTGTCAGAACATTGGATTGGTCGTTGTACTGGTAGAAGAGGTAACATTTGTTTTCTTCTCGTGCTGGATTAACTCAGATAGTAAATGTGAGAAAAGGTATGCCAGAATACGGTGTTCAGACATTGATTGGTCGTTGTGTGCTAATATTCTGTGCTGGATCAAATTCAGCTTGGAATGGTGTTTCAGACATTGATTGGTCGTAGTACTGGTAGAAGGGTGACATGTGTTTTCTCCTCGTGCTGGAATTCATACTCAGATAGTGAATCAGTGAAAAAGTATGCCGGGGATGAACAGCGTGGTTGGTCAGACCATTGATGGTACATTGAACTGGTAGAAGGGTAACATTTGTTTCTCCTGTGCTGGATTCACTACCAGATAGGAATGGTGAAAAAAGTATGCCGAAACGGTGTTCAGACAATTGATTGGTCGTTGTGTGCTATATTTTGTGCTGGATCCAGAACTTCAGCTTGGGAATGGTGTTCAGCGAATATTGATTGGTGTCTTGTACCTGGTAGAAGGGATAAACATTTGTTTCTTTTGTGCTGGATTCAACCCCAAATAGAATATGGTGAAAAAAGTATGCGAAACGGTGTTCTCAGACATTGATTGGTCGTTGTGTGCTAATATTCGTGCTGGCTCAATTCAAGCTTGGAATGGTTTCAGGCAATTGATTGGTCGTTGTACCTGGTAGAAGGGTGAACATTTGTTTCTCCTGTGTGGATTCAACTCAGATAGAATGGTGGAAAAAGTATGCCGAAACGGTGTTCAGACATTGTTTGGTCGTTGTACTGGTGAGAAGGGTAACATTTGTTTCTCTGTGCTGGATTCAACTCAGATAGGAATGGTGAAAAGTATGCCAAAACGGTGTTTCAGAATTGATTGGTCGTTGTAACTGGTAGAAAGGGTAACATTTGTATTCTCCTGTGCTGGATTCAACTCAGATAGGAAATGGTGAAAAAGTATGGGCGATACGGTGTTCCAGACATTGATTGGTCGTTGTGTGCTAATATTTCTGTGCTGGTAATTCAATTCAATTTGGAATGGTTTCAGACATTGATTGGTCGTTGTACTGGTAGAGGTGAATGTGTTTCTCCTGTGCTGGATTCAACTCAGATAGTAATAGTGAAAAAGTAATGCCGAAACCGGTGTTCAGACATTGATTTGGTCATTGTAAGCTGGTAGAAGGGTAACATTTGTTCTTCCTGTGCTGGATTCAACTCAGATAGTGAATGGTGAAAAGTATGCCGAAACGGTGGTCAGAAATTGATTGGTCGTGTGTGCTAATATTTTGTGCTGGATGAATTCAGCTTGGAATGGTGTTCAGCATTTGAATTGCGTTGATACTGGTAGAAGGGTAACAATTTTGTTATCTCTGTGCTTGAGATCAACTGCAAGATTAGGAATGGTGAAAAGTATGCCGAAACGGTTGTTCAGAACATTGATGTGGTTCGTGTGTGCTAATATTCTGCTGCTGGAATTCGAATTCAGCTTGGAATGATGTTCAGACATTGATTGGTCGTTGTCTGGGTAGAAGGTGACATTGTTTCTCCTGGCTGGATTCAACTCAGATAGGAATGGTGAAAAAAGTATTGCGAAACGGATGTTTCAGGACATTGATTGGGTCGTTGTGTGCAATATTTCCCTGGGCTTTGGGCTGGCGGGGATTTTCCATTCAGCTTGGAATGGTGTTTCCAGAGCATTGATTGGTCGTTTAACTGGCTAGACTAGGTGACATGTGTTTCTCCTGTGCTGGATTCAACGTCAGATGGGAATGGTGAAAAAAGTATGCCGAAACGGTGTTCAGACATTGATTGGATCGTGTTTGTGCAATATTCTGTGCTTGGATCCAAATTCAGCTTGAAATGGTGTTTCAGACACTTGATTGGTCGTCTGACTGTGTAGAAAGCGGTAACATTGTTTTTCCTGTGCTGGATCAACTCAGATAGTCATAGTGGTGAACAAGTTAATGCCGAAAACGGTGTTCAGACATTGATTGGTCCGTGATGTGTGCAAAATTCCTGTGCTGGATCAGATTCAGCTTGGAATGGTGTTCAGGACATT